GGGAAAAGGCTTGGAGGGGCCTGGGCCTCGCCGTGGGTGGCGGGGAACGGGGGGGGGGCAGGGGAGAAGGCTCACCTGCGGCTGTTTCCTTCTCCTCCCATGGAGTTTCTCCCCCCCCCGCGAGTATCGCGGGTCCCCCATCTTGTACATATCTATTTATCTATCTTTCTACCATATAGCCAACTATCATCTTTGCAACTGTATATTTTAACAATACATGTTTACTTCTGTTTAATTGTTGCTTAACCATTCCACTATATTTTTCTGTAAAGTACATTTAAAAATAAATTGGCGTTTCATAAGCTCATATGCAGGTTCTCTTATCATTTCTTACTGTTTTACCATCTGTTATAAGCCTTTACCTAAACATTTTAAAGTTAATCTTCCATTTAAATGCATTTCGTATGAGTTACAGTCTATAAGTGAGCTTCCCTAACCAATCTTCATCAGTTACACATATACAACGGTCCCCTAAACCAGTCTTATTTATACAATTTGCTCTTTTACGGATGGGGAAATGTTAATATAGTTCCAGACGAAAACAAGGAGATCTTGCCCGCTGGGTCACGTTGTAGCGGAAAGGAGGAAGTGTGGCAGAAAGCGAAATGAAAGCTGCGAACGGGTGAGGGTCGGTAAAGCCAAAGTGCGTGAGCTCTGCAAAGCAGCCTCCTCTTTTATCGTTAGTAGTAATGACAGCAGCAGCTTCATATATAAATCCCCAGTTCTCGCTGGGAACGTCAGAAAGGAGAGTGCCGTCCAGTCGCAGCCGACTAATGGCCGCCCCATAGGCTTTTCAAGGCAGGAGACATTCAGAGGTGGTCTGCCCTTGGCTGTCTCTGCATAGCAACCGTGAGCTTCCTTGGTGGTCTCCCATCCAAGGACTAACCCGGGCCGACCCTGCGTAGCTTCTGCCCAAGATCAGGGCAGAGAAGCAGAGGTGGTCGGCCCCTGCTTGCCTCTGCGCAGCGACCCTGGACTTCCTTTGGTGGTCTCCCATCCAAGGACTAACCAGGGCCGACCCTGCGTAGCTTCTGCGATCTGACGAGATCAGGCTAGGCTGGGCCATCCAGGTCAAGGCAAGAGATGACCAGAGGTGGTTTGCCATGGCCTGCCTCTGCGTAGCAACCCTGGGCTTACTCAGTGGGTCTCCTATCCAAGGACTAACCAGGGCTGATCCTGCTTAGCTTCCGAGATCTGATGAGATCAGGCTAGGCTGGGCCATCCCGGTCAGGGCGGACAAGCAGAGGTGGCCTGCCATTGCCTGCCTCTGCGTAGCAACCCTGGGCTTACTCAGTGGGTCTCCCATCCAAGAACTAACCAGGGCTGATCCTGCTTAGCTTCCGAGATCTGATGAGATCAGGCTAGGCTGGGCCATCCCGGTCAGGGCGGACAAGCAGAGGTGGCCTGCCATTGCCTGCCTCTGCGTAGCAACCCTGGGCTTACTCAGTGGGTCTCCCATCCAAGAACTAACCAGGGCTGATCCTGCTTAGCTTCCGAGATCTGATGAGATCAGGCTAGGCTGGGCCATCCCAGTCAGGGCGGACAAGCAGAGGCGGTTTGCCATTGCCTGCCTCTACGTAGCAACCCTGGACTTCCTTTGATGGTCTCTCATCCAAGGACTAACCAGGGCCGACCTTGCGTAGCTTCTGAGATCTGACGAGATCAGGCTAGGCTGGCCATCCCGGTCAGGGCAGACAAACAGAGGAGGTTTGCCATGGCCTGCCTCTGCGTAGCAACCCTGGACTTACTCAGTGGGTCTCCCATCTAAGGACTAACCAGGGCCGACCCTGCGTAGCTTCTGAGATCTGACGAGATCAGGCTAGGCTGGGCCATCCCGGTCAGGGCAGAGAAGCAGAGGTGGTCTGCCACTGCTTGCCTCTGCGTAGCGACCCTGGACTTCCTTTGGTGGTCTCCCATCCAATGACTGACCAGGGCCGACCCTGCGTAGCTTCTGAGATCTGACGAGATCAGGCTAGGTTGGGCCATCCCGGTCAGGGCAGACAAGCAGAGGCGGTTTTCCATTGCCTGCCTCTGCGTGGCAACCCTGGACTTACTCAGTGGGTCTCCCATCCAAGTACTAACCAGGGCTGATCCTGCTTAGCTTCCAAGATCTGACAAGATCAGGCTGGCTTGGGCGATTCAGGTCAGGACACTCAAGATACATTACAAATATGGTAAGAATTATTCAGTCAATCAGCAAGTGAATTGCCAAGTCGGCCTTTTACCATCTTCGGCTGGCTCGGCAGTGTGCCCCCTTCCTTGACTGCGATGACCTGGCCACGGTGATCCATGCGATGGTCACCTCGAGGTTGGACTGCTGTAACGCTCTCTACATGGGGCTGCCTTTGTCGCAAGTCCAGAAGCTGCAGCTAGTGCAAAATGCGGCGGCCTGGCTGCTGATGGGTCTCACTAGGCGGGACCCTATCAGGCCTGTCCTGAAAGCGCTGCACTGGCTGCCAATAGCATACCGGATTCGCTTCAGAGTGCTGGTTCTTACCTTTAAAGCCCTATATGGCCAGGGTCCAGCATACCTGAGGGGCCGCCTTTCCCCATAGGTTCCCCCAGGGGCACTACGGTCGGGGACTCAACATCGATTGGTAACCCCAGGTCCTAAAGATATTAAATTTGCTGTCACCAGGGCCAGGGCATTCTCGGTGGTGGCTCCTACCTGGTGGAATGAGCTCCCGGAGGAGATCCGGGCCCTGCGGGACTTGGCGCAGTTCCGCAGGGCCTGTAAGATGGAGCTCTTCCGCCAGGCTTTTGAGTAGGAGCCGCCACCATCACTACACCATCACCGTACCACCACCACTAAATGGAGTGGGTGTCATCGGGGAACGAGACAGGCCCTGGGAGGAAGGACGGATCGTTGTACCACCTGGAGTTTATCGTGTCGCTCTGGGACCACTTTGTTATGTGTGACCCCGTCTGTTATTGTGACATCTAGAGCCAGTTTGGTGTCGTGGTTAAGTGCGCAGACTCTAATCTGGGAGAACCGGGTTTGATTCCCCACTCCTCCACTTGCACCTGGCTGGATGACCTTGGGCAAGCCATAGCCCTGGCACAGCTGTCTTCTTCTTCTTCTTCTTCTTCTTCTTCTTCTTCTTCTTCTTCTTCTTCTTCTTCTTCTTCTTCTTCTTCTTCTTCTTCTTGTTTTATTGTGTGTTTTATTCTGTTTTTACCTGTTGAATTTTGACATATGTGCCCCTTTGTTATCTGCCCTGAGCCTATCTGGGGAGGGCGGGGCATAAATTTACCAATAAATAAATAAAACAAGAAATTTACAAAGTATGATAAAAGCCATTAGACTCTTAACAGCAGAGACTCCTAATTAAAAAAGAACAACGCAGTGGGGTCTCAGTGGGTTCCAGGCACAAGAAAGAGAGCGGATAACGCCATTCAGTCGCGCACCAGAGATTCTGAATAAAACAAAATAATGCCGTGGGGCTGGGATGGAAGAACTGGGAGAGCAGCGCAAGCAGACGAAAGTGTTGCCAACGGAGCAATCAATGCAGGCAGCGCTTATCCCTGTATATAAAACAATCCAGTCTTAATGGCAGACGTCCTTCATAAAGCAAAATAATGCACTAAGGCTGGGGCTGAAGAATTGAGAGAGCAAGGCAAGCAAGCAAAAACACTGCCAACGGAACTATCCACGTAGGTAACGTAACATTTATATAAAACAATTCAGCCCGGCAGCAGAGGTCCTTGATAAAGCAAGATGACTCAAGGGGCGGCTGGGCACTGAAGAGTTGTGATTAGCTTGTCTGCCCGGTTTCATGGATTCTGATTAGGTCTCAGCCATTATTGCGGAGACAGGCACATTTCTAGCCCCTTTCAGGAGGGGCAGGAAAAAGATATTTCTAGGCTACGTACTAGTTATTTCTAGCAGTTCGAAAGGAAGAAATTGCAAGTAGAGAAATAGGTACCACTCCGGTGGGAAGGTAACAGCGTTCCGTGCGCCTTGGTGTTTAGTCATGCCGGCCACATGACCACGGAAACGTCTTCGGACAGCGCTGGCTCTTCGGCTTTGAAACGGAGATGAGCACCGCAACCCTAGAGTCGGACTCGACTGGCTTTCGAGCAAGGGAACCTTTACCTTTACCTAGGCTACGTAAGTCTGGGGCCTTTCCCTGAAAGTCTTGGAAGATCTGTTTCAGATCATCTGCTTGCAAAATAACAAATACTCTCCCCGTATCTTGCAAAGTGTGGCTTCTTTCAAAATTGTGCTTTGCGATTCTGACTTGTTACAGGAAGGGAAAGGAAGGTTTCCCCTAGCCTCTGGGAGCATGCAGAGTATTTCTCCTGTCATATTATGAAGAACTTTCTGGCCATTGGCTGCCACCACCGAGTTCCTTTGAGGCAGTTAGTCTGCCTTATTTTTATATAAGGCGCAAAAGAAGACC